GTATGTATTATCTGCTGAAAAATTTAAAAATTATCATCATCACTACCAAGTTTAAGTAGCATACTTACAAAACAGACACAAATGGTAGAACTAGAGTCCACCCTCTACACACTCCACTGTCACCCCATGACCCCCACCCTCAATAGCTCTAACTCCAGTCCTACCGGAGACACTACATCCCACCCACCTTATTACCTACTAAAATCTCACCTCCCATTCAGCAAATTTAACAAAAAATGGAAACTCTATATGTCCCCTGCCCCTGGAATAAACTTCATTGTTTAGTGCAATATAAATTTGCACTAAGGATACCTGCATCAAGGGATACTTTGTTTCTACAGGGCTTCCAAATCCATTGACTCCAATAAAGCTGGTGCTGAAATAGGAATCTGTAAGACTCGCGTCAGTTAAAGCACCTCCATCCATTCCTGGAACTGAAAGACAAGGAAAATTCAAGTATTTAAAATTATTTAAGAGAATAAAACACTGATTTCGTTTCTGTGTTCCTAATAAGTTTTAAAGTCTCAAATCTCTGTCACAATTTTTTTTTTACTTACCTGCTCATAACAAAAGGCAGGATCAAATAAAATGGGTTCAGCTCTAGAAATGTGTTAAGCAGTGCTTAAGGTGACTATCTCCCACAGAAATAGTAATTTATTATAAACTAATCACCTAATTGCCACAAAGCACAACATGAAGAAATCACACTTGCATTTCCAGTTTCCTTATCAAGTTTTCTTGCTTTAACTTAGTAAAAGGACAACAGAATACAAACCACTGCAATTTCTCCTGGGAATCATCATATGGTAAACAGAGGCAAGTTGCTCAAGACTGTTTCTCACAATACATCCTTTGAAACAGACCAGCAGTCTAACACTAACTCAAAATTCAGGGGGAAAAAATTCTGCAGAGGTAGCAATGGGATGGAGTTCAGGAATACTGACAGTTCTCTCTTGATTTTAGGGTAGGATGATACAGAAAGGTTGTAGAAGTAGAACGGCAATCCATTACGTATTAACAAAGTAGAGGACAAAGTGTTTTAGATGCTACTTCCTGGTGAGCACTTGGAAGCACTAAGCTGCTAGCGGAAGTACAAAGCCTTACACTTTTACCAATAAACTGAGCTGCAAGTAGGATTGCCCTTCTCCAGGCAGAGCCACGAAAAACCCCCCTCGACTCCTCTACTAAGAAGCAAACTAAAAAAAAAAGGCTGATAGTTGGATGTCAGGTCTCCTTAGAAAGCAGTTTGAAGTAATGTTTATTTTCTTCTTTTTTTTTTAAATGTCCACAATGAAAATGTATTGTTCTCATAATTACAAAAAGATTATTTTTAATGGTTCATATCTTTTCGGTTAGTGATTACAACTTCAGTTGTAGCTGAAGAAAATAATCAGAAGCACCTAAAGATTCGAACATGAAGATGTTCAATTTGATTTATATAGAAATATGAGAGGTATTATTTTACTAAGAAATTAAAAACAATGTGAAAGGTCCAACAAAAGAAGAATGATTAAGTAAATTTTAATATATTCATTGAAAAACTATGAAATAATTAAAAATCATGGCAATTAATGTCTAGTATTTGTTTAAAACACTCCAGCAAAATGAAACAAAAACTAGGAGAACAAAACAAAAACGGGGAAAATATTAATCACTATTGAAATTGGGTGACAGGGATTATACTATCCTCTGTACTTTTATCAAAGTTTAAAATTTTCCATAATAAGAGGTCATAGAAAATGAGGATAACAAAGACTAAATAATTGTATGTGCCAGTGATATTGTTAAAGAAACATGTATTTCTTTTGTTTTTGTCTCCAGTTCCCAGCACAGAGCTCCTAAAACCCTTGTAATTTCGTAAGTGACAAGGGTAACAGGAGCATCTTTTGTTCTAATATTTGGTCTTTGACCCTGATTCCTACACAGAGCTTCTAAATCCCTTGGAATTTCCTGGGTGATAGGAGCATGTTTTGTTCTAAGGAGGTGATTCCTGTTGCATTCCTAGATGGGAGCTGGTCACCAGAAAGACCAAGCTCTGACTACAAACTTGGAACTTTCAGCCCTACTCCCATCTTCCAGAGAGGGCAGAGGGGCTGGAGATTGAGGTAATACATCATGCCTATGTGATGAAGATCCATAAAAACTATGGGATTCAGGGAGCTTCTGGGTTGAAGGTATCCACAAGCCAGAAGGGTGGCAAGACAAAAGATCCTGTACTTAGGACTTTTCCAGACCTTGCCCTATCTACCATTTCATTTGACTGTTCATTTGTATCCTTTATAACAAACCAGTAAAAGTAAGTAAGTGTTTGCCTGAGTTCTGTGAGCCAAAATGGCAAATTACTAAACCTGAGGAGGAAGTTGTGGGAACCCCCAATTTGTAGCCAAGTCAGAAGAAGTGTGGATAACCTGGAAACCCACTACTTGCAACTGCAGTCTGAAGTGGTGAGCAGTCTTTTGTGAGCCCTTAACCTGTGGGGTCTGCACCAACTCCAGGTAGTTAGCGTCACAACTGAATTGTAAGACACACAGATGGTGTCCAGAGAGTCGGGAGAATTGGTTAGTATGGGGAAAAAAATCCACACATCTGGTGTCAGAAGTGTTGTGTGAGAGTATAGTAGAGAAAAAACAGGAGCTAGTTTTGTTCCTTTTTAGTGTAAAAACCATTCACTATGTGAGTGAAAGGTGAACACGTTTTTATTTATAGTATGATTATGTGTGCTTACACATAAACAGAAAATAAGACTGAATAAATATGCAAAAATGTTAACAATCTTGTGTTATGTGGTTGACTGAAATTCTCAAACCATCAATGTACTACTGTGTGTTCATTAGCCACATCCTTCCCAAACACTTCATTGATATTTATTTGGAGCTGTCTGCTCTGCATTGACCATATTCGAAAATAACACAAATTTTTTACTTATCCTTGGTTTCAAAGAATTGCTCTAAAAAAAAATTTGAAAGATAATCACAAGCCAAAATGTGTGTTTGCAAGACTAAGGATGTATCTTGACAGTTACAATAAAACAAGAAGTGTCAAAGTGAAATATCAGAGATACCTACTGTCAAACTTGGTACTTAAGGAAATCGGACATTTCATACTTAATTACCCCCTTCGTATTTAATACTTTCCAGGGTTGTTGTGATAATAATTCAGTATGTTGTCATGTCTGGTTTATATTAGGTGCCAAATAAATGGCTACTTTTTGCGGTTATCGTTTGTATCCATTTATTAAATTATTTGCAAAAGTTAGCCTGTCCTTTCTGACGGAACACTAATATGCTCTTTGTATATTAACAGAATGTATTAGGAGAAACGTTCCATGTAGGTTTTTCTTTTTAATTTTAATATAAATGATAAAAAGGTACACTGTAACATTTTACACATCTATTACAAAAAACCCACAGGCATTGTCTAGAAGAAAAGACTCAAATCTAAAGCAGGTTGCTGGGTAAGATGTAAGACATACTGGTCACTCAAAAGCTCACAAACTAAGGAAAACATCCAAGAGAACTGTGAGGAAACAGTTATTAATGACTCCAAACAATGTGCTTCCAGTCCTTGTGATAAAGCTTCTGTGGAGAGTCATGAAGAGATCAAGTTCACGTTGTCAATTCTCACCTAACTCCAAAGCATCATTCACCACCACTGGTGATAACCAAGAGAGAAGTGAAGCCCTCCTAGCACAGATCACCAATCATGAGTTGAATGTATTAGGTATTTTAGGGATAGCATCTCTCTTTTTTTTTAACCACACAACTATGAGGAGTTGAATTGTGTCACTCCAAAATTCCTATGTTGAAGTCCCAACCCACTGTATCTCAGAATGCAACCTTATGTGTGTATAGGGTCACTGCAGATATAATTAGTTAAGATGGGGTCACCAGGGTGGGCCCTAATCCAGTATGACTGGTGCTCTTATAAAAAGGGGAAATTTGGACACAGGGACACACAAAGGGAGAACACTGAGTAAAAATGAAAGCAAACACTGGGGCTGGGAACAGTGGCTCACGCCTGTAATCCTAGCACTCTGGGAGGCTGAGGCAGGAGGATCGCTTGAGCTCAGGAGTTTGAGACCAGCCTGAGCAAGAGCGAGACCCCGTCTCTACTAAAAATAGAAAAATAAGCCAGGTGTGGTGGCTGGCGCCCATAATCCCACCTACTCAGGAGGCTGAGCCAGGAGGATCACTTGGGCCCAGGAGCTTGTGCAGTGAATTATGATGACGCCACTGCACTCTACCCAGGGTGACAGAACGAGACTCTGTTTCACAAAAAAATAAAATAAAATAAAAAAAGAAAGCAAATATTGGGAGGTTGTTTCTACAAGCCAAGAAATGTCAAAGATTGCCAGCAAACCAGAAGCTAAGCAAAAGGCATGGAATAGTCTCTTTCACAGCCCTCAGGAGAAAACAATCCAGCTCACACCTTGATCTCAGATGTCTAGCTTCCAAAACCGTGAGAGGATAAATTTCTGTTGTTTAAGTGCCCTTCCTCCAAGAAAAGATACAATAGAGTCATATAATAAAAGAGGAAATAGGGATTATTAAACCAAAAGCACAGGCTAAGGAAAATATCTCAGTTGAACCTTAAGCTCAGAAGTTTTGAAATAGCCAAAATTAAAAAAACAGAAGTTTAAAAACTGCTCAACTAGTAAAATAACAAATACCAATTTGTTAGAGCAGAAACACTTTTCTTAGTACTTAAACTCCACAGAAATTATTACAAGAATTTTTTTACACAGAGCATTGAACACCATGACATCTTCAACACAGTTGAAAGGAAGATTTCTAGGAACATTTTTTTGTATTCACACTCAACAGAAGTATGGAATATAATAGGAAACCACAACCCAACTGAGGGAATTCCATAAAGAGCTAACAAGGTACTTAGTTCAAGTACTTACCTTTCCAGAAATCTAGCTAGACCACTCTTTCCTTCTTATACTATCATTCTTTCGATCTGAAACATTCATTCCTGGTTCCAATACACAGATTAGATAGACAGACAAAATACCTGCCACCATTTACTGTTTTATATGCACAATTACAACAGTTCCTTAAGGTATGTATGATTATTTCCCATTTCAGTGGCACAAAGATGGGATTTGAAACCTGAACAGTTTAACTTCGAAGGCTTCGAAAAATACTATACTACATTTCTCTCAGTCAATCCTAAACTTGCCTCACATTTCTAACTGTCTATTATTCAATGTCTCTAAGTAGATGTGTGACAAGTACTTTTAAGCTAAAAATTCAGTTATCCTTGGCTCCTCTCTCTCCCTCATCCAGCCCCCTAAACAGTTACTTCACCAAATGTCTCTCAAACATGTCCCCTGTATTTCATTTCCACTGGCCTAAACCCTAATGCCTTAGCAGTTCTCCCTTCAACTATTGATAAGACTCCAAATGGTCTCCCTATTTCCATCCTTAGA